CCCCAAAACCCCAAAACCCCAAAACCCCAAAACCCCTTGAGGGGAATTTTATACTGAAAGGATTAGTGGAGAGAGATTTAAGCTGGAATAGACTCTTGCTTGTAGCAAGGGCAAGGGAGGTATTTGCAGTGGGGGTGGACGACGTGTTGGCAGTCGAGAGTCTCCATTGATTCAGCCATTGGCTGGTTACATATTGGGCATGTTAGCTCTGTGTTGTTCAGTTTGAGGTAAGTCTGTTGAGCTAGCTGGTGATCACTCTCTTCTATTTTGTGACGATTGTGCTGGGCTTCCTTGAGTTCTTCTTGTTCTTTTGAAAATGAGTCCATAGCTAATTGGTAGTCAGGGTTTGGCTGGGATAGAGAGGTAGGAGCGTGGTTTTGGGGGTGAAAGCTGTTATGAGGAGCAGATTGGTAGGTGTATTGGGGCTGCAGATTGATATTTTGGCAAGAATAGTCAGTTTTCTCTGCAAAGGTGTCAATTTGACTTGCATTTCTTTTTCTAGAATGAGCTTTATTTAATATTTAATGCTTTTTCAGGCTCTCTAAATTCTAGTTCTTCATCAAATTCTGAATAAACTCTTGATCCATAATTTTGAAGAGGTTCTAATCTATCGTCTAATTTGTCTTCTTCATCATCTCTTTGATCAGCTCCAACTGATGCGAAAGAAGGCTCAATCTGCCCCTCAAAAGTTTGACTCGTAATAGGATTTGCTTTCTGGTACATCTTCCTTCTTCATTTCTTGATAATAAGCTGTATTTCTTCATTAACCTCTTCAAAAGCCTCTCTTTCATTTCCAAATCATTCAAACCCCAGAACCTCTCCAAGAGTATCCTGAATATACAATTTCCTATAAATCCTATCAAGTTCATTCTCCCCAAGTTTCTGCGTCTCCAAATAATTCTGTAAAATCCCAGCTAGTTGGACAAAACTCTCTCTTCTATAACTAAGTTCAAACCTTCAATAGTTATATCCCAGGAGGAAGACAATGCCGAGGTCAAGGCCCCATCAGGCCTTCTTAATGGCACTAAGGAACTGGTATTCTCAAGGAAGGTTCTGGTCATCCTCTTCGTAAGTCATAGCTGAGTCCATTGTTTAAAGTTAATTTTATTAGCAATTTCGGACTTATATCGTGGGGTTTTGGGGTTTTGGGGTTTTGGGGTTTTGGGGTTTTGGGGTTTTGGG